CGCCCCGTGACCCCCGGTGACCCCCCAGCCACCTCCCCGGTGCTCCCGAGTGCCCCCAAGGTCTTCCCAGTTGCTCCCAGTTACTCCCAAATACTTCCCAGTTACCCCAATTAACTCCCTATTGTCCCTAATTGCCCCTAATTGCCCCCGTTACTCCCAGCTACTTCTCAGTTACCCCCAATTACCCCTCAGTTATTTCTAATTACCCCTAGTTGCCCCCCATTACTCCCAGTTGACCCCATTACTTCCCAGTTAGCCATAATTGTCTTTCGGTTATTTCTAATTACTGCCAATTGCCCCCCAGCTACGCCCGAATTCCCCCCAATTACTGCCCAGTTGCTCCCAGTTACCCCAGTTACCCCCCAGCTCCTCCTAATTACCCCAAATTGCCCCCATTTACTCCCAGTTACCCCACTTATTCCCAATTACCCCCCCCATTACTCCTAATTACGTGTGAGGCGCAAACACGTGTGCGAGACGCACGGGTGCAGGTACGGGACCCGTGTACGTATGTGAGTGGCACACGTATGCGAAACCTGCACACGTGTGTGAGAGGTGTACACACGCGTGCAGCTGGTACACATGTAAAATACCCACAGACCCGTGTGCGACACGTGTACATACGATTGACGCCTGTACATACATGTGACACATGTTAGCTCATGCACAGAGCTTGTACAGGCGTGTAGAACCTATGGATACACACGCGCAGCCCGCACACACGTGTGCGATCACAGGACACGTACAAACCCACGTATGAGCTGCACACACGTGTGCTGCAGACATGGCACCTGCACAGACACGTGACACCGGCACACGCGTGTGAGAGCCGCAGGTCCACGCGTGAGACCCGCACACACATGTGAAAGCCACACACACACACAGCACACGCGTGTGAGACCTGCACACACGGCACAGGCGTGTGACCTGCACACACACACAGCACACGCGTGTGAGACCTGCACACACGGCACAGGCGTGTGACCTGCACACACACACAGCACACGCGTGCGAGACCCGCGCACACACGGCACACACGTGTGAGACCTGCACGCACACGACACACGTGTGAGACCCATGCACACACACGGCACACGCGTGTGAGACCCATGCACACATAGCACACGTGTGAGACCCGCACACACACACGGCACATGCGTGTGACCACGGAGCTGGGGGCCTGTGGGAGATCCCGGATCCGCCAGGGCGCCTGTTTGGGTGCCAGTCCCGTTTGGGTCCCCTTTCCTGGGCTCCATTGGGTCCCACCCGGTCCCGTTGGTGCCACCCGGTCCCGCTGGGTCCCGCCCGGTCCCGCTGGGTCCCGTTAGACCCTGCCAGATCCCGTTTGGTCCCGTTTGGCCCCATTGGGTCCCGCCCGGTTCCGTCTGGTCCCGTTGACCCCGCCGGGTCCCGTTTGGTCCCATTGGGTTCCGCCCGGTTCCGTCTGGTCCCGTTGACCCCGCCGGGTCCCGTTTGGCCCCATTGGGTCCCGCCCGGTTCCGTCTGGTCCCGTTAGACCCCGCTGGGTCCCGTTTGGTCCCGTTGGTGCCGCCCGGTCCCGTTGGTGCCGCCCGGTCCCGCTGGGTCTCATTGGGTCCCGGTTGGTCGCACTGGGTCCCGTTAGACCCCGCCGGGTCCCGTTTGGCCCCATTGGGTCCCGCCCGGTCCCGTTAGACCCCGCCGGGTCCCGTTTGGTCCCGTTGGGTCCTGCCCGGTCCCGTCTGGTCCCGTTAGACCCC